AAAACAGGAGTTGTGACTGAGACCGTAGACAAACTACGGGATCGGTTGGAAAAGAGACAAAAAGAATTTGAGGCCCAACAAGGATGGTTTGAAAAACTTTTTAATCGCTCCCCTTGGTTTACAACCCTGATATCCACCATCACAGGACCACTAATTATATTCCTTTTGATTCTCACCTTTGGTCCCTTTGGTTCCGAACAGACTAATACAGTTCATGAAGGAACGCTTGTCAGTAATTCAAGCCTTAGTTTTGACCCAACAATATCAGAGATTAGAACAATTAGAAATTGAACAACAATGAATAAAAGGTTTTATTCATTTTATAGAAAAAGGTGGGAATGAAAGGCCCCCACTATACATATTGCCTGTTTGAACTGCTCTTGCCAATTTGCCAAGGTCAAGTTATGGGAAAAGTACAGGAGGGAACCAGGTGCTGCTCTCATCCAATGCCAACCAGGTATCTGTGGTCTGCTTCTTGGACCAAAGCTAGGTCAGCAGGATGGTATCCAGGATGCTGAGGTAGTCATAACTGAATATTTTGTATTCTTTGTGCCCAACCCGAATTACCAACTGTCCTTGGTTAACTACAATCGATACATTTAGATGAAACAATGAAATCCCTGTAACCATGCTTCTGCTTCTGTAAGCCTGCTTCTTGCCACACCAACCCTATATAAACTGCATATGCTTTAACCACGCATGCTCTCTCAGTCTCCCAAATGACTGAAGCGTCCACTGGTACCTGTGTGTAAACATTAAACAGCCTCTTGCACTTGCATCCAGTGGTCTGGTCTCATCTCTTGGAGCAAGGGCCTCCCCCTGACAGGCTCCGAACTCTTGGGGTCTTTCATTTGAAAAGTTTTGCACTAATTTTACTATTAGAGGAGATTTCAAGACAGCTCAGAAGGGACTTTACCCAGCTTGAACATGACAAGCATGGCTCTAGCAGGACTTGCCCTTCTTCCCCATTCTCTCTGCCTTGCTAAAATACCACCAGATTATGTTACTAAAACTAGCCACCAAGATCTGTTTCCTTATTTGGCCACTTCCTCCTGTGGCTGACTGTCAAGGTCTAGCTATCAAAGTATTGAAGTTCAACAATCAAAATGTTTTTGGGGGGCATATTAATTATCATCACCTCATCCTAACACAGGGTTTCTCCTTTTGCCTTTATAAAATGCCATTTGCCTATGGGCCATGTCTGTCTCCTCTCTATCCAAAAGCAGTCCTTTGTACCACCACCACCCCACCTGAAACAAATACCCCATTCTCCCTCTCTCTTGCCCCTTTCTCCTCTCTTTCTTGTTCCATTCCCCTTCTCCCTCATCCTCTATCTCCTATCTTTGTCTCTTGTTCCCTTCCCTTTGTCCTCCAAGGCAAATACATCTCCTTTGTGCTGAGAACTTGGTCTTGGGTTGTCTCAAGACAACTCCAAGATTCCCTACAAGCTCAGTATTGACTATGTTATGAGATTACTAGTAATCACTCTTATGCTGGTCTACAAGGAAAAATAGCAAGCAATGTAAAAAAGAAATAAATACAAAATATATAGTTGGAGGAGAAAAAGAGAACTGGGAAATTTAATTTTGCGGTCAAGGCTTGTACTGAAAGAAATGAGAGGCCTGATGGGGAAATGGAACAAAGGGAAGGGTACCCTCATGGAAGACCATATCAAGCTAATCCCAAAACTTGTGAAAGGAATTTTCACAATCCTGAAAAAGGAAAATAGCCTGTGGAATTTTCTGCTCCTGGACAAGAACAATAAATCAAACGTTATACAAATGTGTTAAAGGAGGAATCATGGCTCCCTCCAAATGGAACAGCTGGTCTTGGTGTCAGTGTTGGCCATATATTTCTGTCTTAAGTGTCATGAATGCAGGGCGGTGGTGGCGCACACCTTTAATCCCAGCACTCAGGAGGTAGAGGCAGGTGGATCTCTGTGAATTCAAGACCAGCCTGGTCTACAGAGCAATTTCCAGGATTGGCTCCAAAGCCACAGAGAAATCCTGTCTCAAAAAAAAAAAAAAAAAAAAACACAGGAAAAAAATGAGTCATGAAGAGACTGTGGAATCTTTATCTGTATCTAAGGAGAACTACTGAGGTCAGCTGTGTGACAGGGGAGTCTCTGGACTGAAACACTGAGAATCAATTGCATGAAGTTGGGACAGTGACACTTGGATTGCTTTGGAGACCCCAGGATGTTTGGGTGCCAGAGATAGCTGCATAGAGGGAGTGAGACCATTGCAAGAGAAAGAAGTATGTTACAGTTAGAAAAGCTGGAAGAGTGAGAGATCTTAAAATCCATGTAAGCCCTTTAACATCAGACATGGAGCTGTACGATTTGAAGTTTTTCCTCCTGAATTGCAGTCTTCTTTTGGTTCAGCATTTCTTCATGATGCTCTTTGTGAATGGTAATGTGGTAATATATTGTTTATAATCTAATAAAGCTTGCCTGGAAATGAGAGTGCAAAGCTAGCTATAGCCACAGTGGTAGCACACACATTTAATCCCAGGACTCAGGAGACAGAGGCAGATAGAGCTCTGTGAGTTCAAGAACACCCAGGGCTATATGAGAGTGAGTCAGTCTAAAAGAGAAACAGAGCTCACACCTTTAATCCCAGCACTAGAGAGGTATATAAGAAAGGAGCAGAGTCTCAGAACTGGCAATTAGTCTCCAGACATGTTGAGGACAGGAAGGCAATTAGTCTCCAGCCACATTGAGGATAGAAAGGTATTCAGTCTTCAGCCACACTGAGGATTCAGGATCACTCTTTCAGTATGAGGTAAAGGTAAGAGCTCATGGCTGGCTGCTTTGCATTTCTGATCTTCAACTTGAACCCCAACATCTGCCTCTGGGTTTTTATTACTTATACTCTTGTATTCTGTGCCATTGTATTTTAAAAGTATGTAATTTGATATTTTATAGAGGGTCACAATTCAGAGATTGCCTTGAGTCTCAGAAGTAATTTGGGACATTTTAGACTTTCTTTTTATTTATTCTTTGTGTGTTTCACATTATGTATCTCAATCCCATGCATCTCATTCAGGCTCATTACTAACTAGCTCTTATGTTTTAAGTTAATCCATATTCCTTATTTACACTCTGCCAAATGACAGTACTTTTTTAGCATAGCACCCTCATCTCCTGCTCCTCTGCATCTGGCTAGCCATTTCTTCTGACTCCATCCTCCTTCCCATCATTCTCAGTTTGGCTTTCCACCTAACTTCCCTCCCAGCTGCCTGCCTGTCACCTTTTTTATTATTATTATTAAACCAGTAACAGTGATAAATATTCACAGTGTAAAAAAAAGGATTATTCCACAGCAAAGAAAAAAAAAAAAGAAAAATGTCTTAGCATAGAACCTGTAGTGTGACGCAGTGAGTCACACAGTACACCCTTTAGCCCATATATCATGACTTGCAAGTATTGCTTGCAAAGAGTCATTGGTCTGCCTCAAGGCCTCTGGTTTCTGCTGAGCCTTTACTGGGACTCTTCTTGGATATCTTGTTTGTGATGTGCATCATGGAGATACTACAGCTTTGGGTCTCCAGCAAACTATAGATGGGGTAGATACTGGGGCACACCAGTCATAACCCTAGTTCTGGGGCTTGGTAGTTTCAGGAGCAACTTTGAACTTCTAACCTGTGTTAAGACTATGAATGACTTTAGGACTTTTACTAAAGTTGAACTAAATTCATTTAGCATTATGACATGACCACAAATCTATGGGGACCAGGGAGCTGAATGTGATGGCTCACATAGGCTCATATATTTGAATATTTGGTTCCCAATTGGTGGAACTGCTTAGGAAGGATTAGGAGGTGTGGCCTTGTTGAAGGAAGTGTTTCTATGGGGAAAGGTGTCTTAGTTTGAGTTTTTTAATTGTTGTGAAGAGGCATCATGGCTATGGCAAGTCTTATTTTCTTAAAAAAGCATTTAACTGATGTAGCTTGCTTATAGTTTCAGAGGTTCAGAACAATATCATCATGGCAGGGAGCATGGCAGTATACAGGCAGATATACTGCTGGAGCTGAGAGTGCTATATCTTGCAGACAACAGGAAGTTGACTGTCAAACTGAGGAAAGCTTGAGCAAAAGAGACATCAAAGCCTACCCCCACAGTGACACACTTCCTCCAACAAAGACACACCTCATGATAGCTCCCATTGGAGGCCATTTTCTTTCAAACTAACATATTCCATTCCCTAGCCCCCAAAGGCTTATAGCCATATCATATTGAAAAAAAAAAATTCATTCTAACTTCAAAAGTCCCCATAGTATATAACAGTCTCAAAATTATTTAAACGTCCAAAGTCTCTTCTGAGATGTTTGGCCATCTCTTAACTGTAACCTGCACTATAGAAAAATTCAGTCCCAAAGATTTTTTGTGTTCTAATTTGGTAATTCCTGTCTTTCTTTAGGGTAAATTCAGTTTGTCTCTCTACTAGGAGGAAATGTTACCTATGTTCAATATATCAAGGAGAGAAAAACCTCCCTTTGTCTAGGGCATATCTGTACATTATCTAAGATATGAAATGGATAAAAAAAAAAACACCACGGCCAAAGTTTGCTTTTGAAACAAAGCCACTCAGTAGATTACTAACTTGTAAATCTCAGAGCTTAATTATATTCAACAGATTTAAATTTTGTCTAGTGGATCTTTCCAATACCTTAAGGTTGTGTCTAATATTTACTGTTCAGATTTCAGGGGAGATATTTGTATGGTCTGCAAACAGATGGCTTTGAGTTATACTAAGATGGTTTTAAAATGTTGTATAGCTGGAAACATTATTTCAACAAATTCATTCTAAAACACCGCAGGATTATAGAGCAAATATCTTCTTTTTCACTAAAAATGGTTTCAATATCTCTGCCGATGATGCAGTTGCAGAATTAAGGTATGTGAAGTCATTTAGAGGACAAAGATAAAATCAGGATGTAATTTCCGATAAAAAAAATCATCATTCAGAATTTTAGACGAGTAACGCTATTTGCGTTCAATGAACATAATCAGAGAGGTTCATGCGAAAAAGTACGGATTGTACCATCTGTCTATGAGGCTAGCGCAAGAACAGGAAGTTTTGGAGGAAAGTGCAATGTGTAGTCCTCCAAGGTAGGGGGCGCAGTTATCCAACTGAATTGATAGTGCGGCAGAGTGGCCCATCTTGGCCACCATTTTGATGTTGAGGCTAAGCGACACTGTTCGCTGTTCAGCCGCAGTCTGGCTTGAGGTGTTTCGCCTCTAGGTCTGACGAGGAAGTACGTGTTTTTCACCCTTCAGACGAAGCCATGGGAACTGTGAGCAGTCTAATGCGGTTGAGAAGAAATCCTCCCGCAGAAGCAGAACCAGAAGCCCAAGCAGAAGCACCTCCTGCTGCTAGAAATGAAGAGGCAGTGGAAGCCGGACCGGCCTTTGTCCACCAAGAAGAGCAGGCAGAGGAAGAGGCCGGACCTTCCACTGGTCGGAGAGGCCGTAAGCGGACGGCAAGCCCAGGAGGACCCTCGGCGAAAGTACCCTGTAAGAAGACGCCCACATCCACATATGGGTTGCCTTTCCGGAGGAGAGGGGAGAGTGATGTAAAGATCTGTGCATTTCAGGAGGAGTGGTGCCTGCACAAGTTCTACCTGTGCCGTTCAGGGTACTTTGCTAGTATGTTCAGTGGTGCCTGGCAAGAGTCAAACATGAGTACAATAGAGATGGAGATGCCTGATGAAAATATTGACCGTGAGTCTTTCTACGAGGCTTTGGTCTACTTGTATAGTAATAATATGGCAATTCCTTCCCACCGAATCATTGCTGTCTTGGCCACAGCCAGTATGCTGCAATTGGATGAGATAATTAGTCAGTGTGAGGAGATGATGAAGGCCTCAGTCACTGTTGAGACTGTGTGCAGCTACTATTACTCTGCTGAGAATTACGGGCTCCCGTATATCAAATCCATTTGTCGCCAGTGGCTCTTAGACAACCTGATGATCCTGCAAACTAATGCATTACTGCCAGAAATCAGTGTACATCTCATGAAAGAGATCATTGCCTCATCAGATCTCTTGGTGATTGAAGGAGAGATAGATATATACACTGTACTGAAAAAGTGGATGTTTCTACGCCTAGAACCCACATGGACAGGATCCCCAGGAGAACTATTAGCTGCAGCCGACTTGTGCTTTGCCAGTTGCAAAAGCAATTCAAATGGTGCACCTTTTCTGGAAACTGACCAAGGGAGAGCCTTTGTACCAGTGTTACAGCAACTAAGACTCCCCTATATCATCTGTGACCTGCCTTCAGCACAAATTATTGACCAGGATGCAGTGATCCCTGCATCATGGTTGAGTCCAGTATATAAAGAGCAATGGCTAACACTTCTTCGAGCAGAGCAGTCCAGGGAACTGGGGCCAATGGATATCCACGTATCTGATGTCCGTGGAAGCAGTATGCGGTGTGGAGGCCAAATTCAAATGGATGAGGAACACAGCTGGACCTGGCCTGGCTTTAACTTTGGCTGGGACTTGGTAGTTTGCTATATAAACAGGCGCATTATATTCCGTCGCAGTGCTTCGAACCCATCCTGTGGCTTCGGTGTCAGCTTACTATGGCAGAGAAAGGTTGCATTCCGTGTGCGTGTGACCTCTTTGGATCAGAAAGGAAAAGCGGTTTTCAGGAAGGACACAAACTATCATGTTCTCTGCCTGAGAAAGGATCAAGAGCTAGAGGTGCTCAACCTAGAAAACGAAGAGATAACTTTCCCCATGTATGTGGCATGTAACTTCCTGTACCTTCCTGGAGAGAGTGGCCTTGGCCAATGTGGAGAATCAAGCAGAGCTCCAAGGTCAGAAGCTCTTCCATGAGGTCAAGGGCTGGCAACATCCTCCAGCTTCCATCTACCTGTGTGAAACTAACTAGACTTGACAAACCGTTGACCCACTTCATAAGCATTTCTGTGGAAGGAAAGCACATAAAGTTTGAGGCTATCTGTATGAGAAGCTCCTCCAAACTACCGATACCTGACTGTACAGTTACTGTGGCAACTTCTCCTGGATTACCATCTATCAAGATCTACATAATTTCTGAGAACACTGGAAAAAATGGTAGAAGGAAACTGTGAGCCTACCTAAATTACTGCTTGATGAAAGATTTTCAAAATGCATTTCTTGTCTTTTTATTAAGTTAATGTTTAAAGCATTATTTTCATTTCTCTGTCAGTTATATTTAGAACTGCCCTATCCTACTCCTAGTTCCATTCTCTTATTCCTCCATACCTTTTTTCCTCATTCTGAGTATAGCACTTAGTTTTCCTGTTTTCTGTGTGAAAAACAAGGAAATGTTATTTTTATGTTTGGTGTTCTTTAAACTAAGAATATAGTTATACTTTACTTGCATTTTCCCCCAAAAAGATTTCAAAATCTATAGCACTCTATTTTGGGGGTGTAATGCATGGAAGCAGCTTCATTACATAGTTAATTAAATTACTAAAGTTTAAATATTTTCAAGTATGCATGTACCATTGAGCTTCAGAAATGTTTGCTGTTAAAGTTGTATTTGAATTTCAGGGTATAACAAGTTATAGGGGGGTTTGATAGTGAGAGTGTAAATTTAAATTCAATATCAAGCCCTGACAAAATATTGTATTTGAAAAATGCACTCATTTTAAAGAGCAAGAATAGTAACATAATCTTTAGAATAGAAAGGCGAAGGATATAATGAGAACTGCTTTGTGTTCTGAAGTAGGATAAAAGGCTGTTTAATATTCTTTTTAAAATAAGTTTTTTTTAAAAACTAGAAACTATTTTACATACTAATTCTATTTCCCACTCCCTCAAGTCCTCCCATGCCCCCCACCAACCCACATCCCACCCCCATCCACTCCCTAGGGGGAGTTATCAAAGTGTATCACATCATTTGGGGCAGGACAGCATCCCCTCCCCCAGTATCTAGGCCAGAGTCACCTTAGACTGCCCAGCCCCCCTCCCGAACTGACACCCACATTCATGGGCACCCGGTTCAGTTCACAGCTAAGCAATGAGCCAAACTGGAATCCAGTTGTAGAGAGGAGTGATGAGCAAACATGTCTAGACCATGCTGGGAAAACCCACAGAAGCAGCTGACCTGAACAAGGGGGAGCTTGTGGATCCCAGACTGGGAAACCAGCTGTTTAGTAATCTAAAGAATATGTAGAAAGTGGTACTGCCTGAAATGGAGAGAGACTCTAGCAACAACCATACTGCTAATTTTAAAACTGTTACCACTTTACATCTTCTGAGATATTCTACTTCTCATTGATAGATTTTTGTGGTTAAACAATGTAAAATAATTGAGCTCAGTTTAAGAATCCATTCAAGAAGTATGTGCTCAGATTATAAAAAAACTAGCACAAACTGAAAAAAATTAAAAATAACCAACATATTAAAAGTTTTACATAAGTGAAAAATAATTTTCCTTATGGGTTTATTTTTATCTTCCCAATTAAAATAAAACCATTAGTCCTTGGGAAGAAATTGTTTTATTCTTTTTTTTTCTTGTTAAGATTTTAAAGTCTTTGTAATACAAAGCCTACATACTAGTATTCCAATAATAATTTAGTGCCAGTACTATGAAGTGGCTAAATGAGGGTATCCATAAGGCACCCTTTATTGTTGGCTTTGAATTTCACGTTTCTCTCCTTATACTTGATATACCTAGCTAGCTACAAACAACAAACCTTACTTCATATTTAAAATGAAGGTGTGGGCCCCTTTCTAGTTTTCCAGGCCTCTATCCCTACTTACTTCCACATAAATACAAATATACAACAGTTAGAAGCTAGGATCCACATATGAGAGTGATGTGGTTATCTTTATGAGTCTGAGTTACCTGTGTTAATATATTCATTTCTAGTTTTGTCAGTTTTACTGCACATTTTATAATTTTGTTTCATTTGATAGGAAAATAAAATTAATTATATACATGTACCACATTTACTTTATCTGTTGATGGCTATTGATTGGTTGATTTCATTTACTCAATGTTGTGGAGAAAAAAAAAGCATCAATAAACATAGATGTGCAAGCATCTCTGTGGTGAAAAGAGAGTTCTTTGGGTATATTCTCGGGAGTATTGTAGCTAGGCCATATGGTAAGGGAGGGCTGATATGAAACTAGAAAGGGAAATGGAGGAGGCAAAGAGTACAGAGAAGGGATGATCTCAGGAGATAGGAGAGGAGTGAAATGGGGGTATGAGAAACCAAAGTTAAATATATAAGAAAATGCCTATCATATTTTTATGCTAGATCAATAATAATTTTAATTAAAAATATATAAAATAAAGATATGGAGAAAATAGTCTGGGGTAGAGAAATCATGTTTATAAGGATGACAAATAGCTCAGGGCAGGGAAGGGTCTAGATGCCAGAGTGAACATTGAAATGTGTAAAATTTTATGTACTATTGATACTGAGGGTGTCTGGAGGCCATGGTAGGCTTTGATATGATGATGTGTGCCACAAGTAGCCATTTGTCACTTCCACCAGAGGTAGAGAAATGACTCCTTTTGCTGAAGGGAATGTGTTTCACAAGTTCCTGAGGAATAATGGCTTTTATCTATCCATCAGTTTCCTTATAGTCTAGCTTGAGCTAATTTCCAGACGTGATCTATATGAGCCCTACATACTGCCTGAAACCTAGCATTTTCAGCCTTTTGTTGATGATAAAGGATGATGAAATTTCTGACAACTTCAGCACTATGGTAGGGTCATAGTAGTGGCCCAGAGAGGCTGGAATGTTGGGAGATAGTCATCAGAAGCATCTGGTTTGCTGACCCAGTGTGGGGAACCTCAGAGCCAAGTTATCATCTTAACATCCATCTTTCCTACTACTCTCTTAGATACTAACATACTGGTAATTTTCCATTCCCCTATGACTGTTCTCCTGTTCAGCATATGATGCAGCCTGACCCTGAGAGAGTCCCAGCTGCAGGCTTATCGTATAGCTAGTTATCTTATAGCAGAACACATGCATCCTGCTTGGAAGGACATTCTGCCTCCCTCACCTCCTCCCTTTGCCTATTCCCTCATTTCTCCACTACTTAAACCCTGTGGTTATATTCATTAAACAAGACTTTATCAGAATACTGTCTTGTCTCCATCTCTCCAGTCTCTTGTCCCCTCATTCTCACTCCCTCCCTTGGGGTCCCTGTTGAGTGACCCCACAGGCCGGGGACAAACCAGCCTGAGGAAAAAGGAAGCAGTCACATCAGCTGGACTGTTTTACATCAGTGTTGAGCAAGTCCAGGGCTCACAGGTTCTGCAAGACTACCTGGGGCTGATGAGTTGCAGGCCATTTTGGTGTAATTTTCAGGGCCTGGATGGTGTCTATTAGATGAGTGGGAATGTGCCAGGATAGATATAGGCTAGGAACAGTAGGTATTAGAGTGATCATTGTCTATAATCTGCACTGAAATCTTCATTGTAGAAAAAACTGTTAACAAGTTTCAAAAAGCAGATGAAGTAGACTCAAAACTTTGAGCCATAGCAAAACAAAACCTGAAAAGTTATCCGCATTATAGTAACATAAAAATTCATTTGTAATCAGACAGAATTTTTTTGACAGGAAAGAGAACAAAAGGGAAGAGTTTTGCCAGGTAGTGGTGGTATATGTCTTTAATCCTAGCACTCGGGAGGCAGAGTCAGGAAGATGTCTGAAAGTTGGAGGCCAGTCTGGTCTATAGAGTGAGTGCCAGGACAGGCTCCAATGTTACACAAATAAAAACCTATCTCAAAAAACAAAATAAAAAAGGGGATGTAGAGTTTGGGCCCCAAAAGTTGGTTCTGAGTTAAAAGCATGAATTCTTTTCCCTCAGTCCAAAGATATTTTCATTACAATGAGTAGCACCTTTAAATCTATATTTAAGAGATACTCTCTCAGCCTAGATACAGGGGGGCCTCTATTTTGCCCCAAATGATGTGGCAGACTTTGATGATCCCCCATGGGAAGTCTCATCCTCCCTGAGGAGTGGATGGGGGTGGGGTGGAGAGATGGTGGGAGTAGTGGGAGGCTAGGAGGGAGAGGGAATTGGGGTTGGTATGTAAAATAAGATTGTTTTAATTTAAATAAAAAGTAATTTAAAAAGAAAAAACAGAAAACAAAGGAAAGTTAAAAATTTTGAACTTGTAACTGGAATTATTGTAGCCAATGTTTTATCAAGGCTAGACATTGTAGAATATTCATTTATACTGTGTGAAGATGTGTCACTGTGATTGACTTAATAAAAAGCTAAATGGCCAATAGCTAGGCAGGAGGTATAGCAGGGACTTCTGGACAGAAAGCACTAGAAAGCAAAAAGGCAGAGTCACCAGCCAGATTGGGGGAAGCAGAATGGGCAATACAGAATAAAGGTAACAGAGCCACATAAAAGAACGTAGATTTTTAAAATATGGGTTAATTTAAGTTATAAGAGCCATTAGAAACAAGCCTAAGCTAACGTTGAATGTCATTTTTTTTTGTGAGCTGGTGGCCCAAAGGGGGAAAAAAATCCATCTACAGCTAGATTAATAGCTTATCAGAACTCCATTGATTAATATGTTAAAATTCTGAACTTTGAAGTCTTAACATTTTATGTTATCAACTTTGAGTCTCATTTTTCACATATCTAAAATTACCTTCCCGGGCCTTTACAATTTTCAAACACAAACCTTAAATCATTACTTTAGACCTTTTCAGCTTACATAAACTTTACCCTTTAAAAATTTTTTTTCGTCTGAGAAAAAATCCTATATCTCAGCTTGAAGTCATCTCTAGAAATATAGTCACCCTGAGACTATGTCTATTTGGTCTGTAACAAGCTCTTATATTATCTGTCTCCTTCTTAGTCTATC